TTGCCTGCCTGTCTCATACACTGCATTATTTTGATGATGTAAAAGAGAGTAACAAATGGTTTGTATCTTTGTTCTGCAGCAGCCTGAGCAATCGATACAGCCTGAGCATACTGCCACAGGAAATGCCTGGAGAGATTCATTCAGAAGAACTTGTTCTATGGTATGACTGAAATGACAGGCACTGAAATGCAATTCCTAGTTTGTCTCATATCGTTTCAGAGCTCTCTTACAAGACAGAACAGTTTATGATACTGGTTTTTCTTACTTACATGATGTGAACCTTGGTCTGTTAGCTGGTTTTTTTGGAGAATTTCTTTTGTGTGCTGGCTTAACATTTCTTCTATGTCTATCTCAGATGCACCTACATTTTCCTCTAAAAACTGAAAGAGAAATGGAAATCAGCATTCCTCCGAACGGCCCCAGAAGATGCCCAAAGGGAGAGAAGCGGCACCTACCCTGCTCAGGACGGCCTCAAGGTCACAGACGGCTTCCAGCAGCCCTGCACCCAAGAGCTTCAGCTGGTTCAGCAGCAAATGAATCACAGCCCGTGGACATGTCAGGTGGCAACAGCTCAAGCAAGAACCCCGTATCAGAAGGAATAATTTCTGGAAAAGATAATAGCACTTAATATCTATAGTGCTTCTTTGATCTTTTAAAGCGCTTCGTATATTTTATCCTTGTAAGAAGCCCGTGAGGTATCATTTCTCCAGTGCTGATGGCGCCAAAAGAAAGTGGTCACCTCACCTGGTGAGGTTATGGGAAAGAAAAGATTCCAACGGCAGACTCCTTTGGTTCAACCACTAACCCAAACCAGCTCAAACAAGGTCTCTCAAACAAGCCCATCCCAGTAAAATGAACAGCATCTGAAGAACAGCCCATCACCACAAGACATGCTGGCACAGTTCAAAAACTCTTGACATTAAACCATGCAGCACTAGGCATCTATTTGGTTAGACAATGAATCCCCTCCCACAATATCAATGTCCTTGCGCAAATTCACAAAATAAATTTAAAAATAAAATCAGTTTCCCTGCATGCTAAAAAGTGCTTCCTTTAGGACCTAAAAAGATCTACTGTTTTTCCCCCAGATAAAATCAATCCAGTTCTGTTTTAGTCCTGGAACTATACCCAGCCATCAACCCCTGAGGTATGGGAGGCTCCAGAACCAATACCATTGAGAAGAGGATGCTAGAATCACCTGTTTACTTCAGAACACTTTGGCCATCTTTAACCCACAGACCAGCTGGCTTAGGAAGTATCTGAGGTAACCTTATCCAGACACCTGTGGCTCCAAACCCCTTTGGAGAACATCAGACAAGCCAAGCTGTCACGGTGGAGCACAGCGGGAGAGGGTCTCCAAGACACAGGGCCACAGGTATGTGCGAGTGATAAGCAACACCTTTAGCTGATGGGCAGCCCACATAGTAACTGCAGAATGGGTTGATAGCTGGATACCACTGAGCCTCTAAGAGTACACCAAGACAGAGCTAATCCAAAACATTGACCCCTAAAAAGATGGCATTCGAACTATAAAAATAGGTTCTGATTATCTACTGTTCAAATCAAAAGGCAGAATAAAATTGTATTTCAAATACTAATTACAAGCAGTAAAATATCTTACCTCTCACCCAAATCTCTAAACTTAATGGCAGATTCCCTCCCACATGTAAAGAAAGTACAACACTAGCCAATAATCTGATCTCATCCTTCCTTCTCCCATTTCCTTGATAATGGAAAGTTCTGACTTCTCCATTCCCACACCCCAAGCCCAGGTGGCTCATCAAGCAGTATTGTTTCAATTTTGATTAGTTTAATTTAGCAATCCATTAGTCTTCCAACCCCCAACCCAACTTGTACTTTGCATTAGAAGAAAACCTACCTCTTTTGTCCAGTTTTGGGAACTTGTTACCACTTTCGCAAAGCTACATTGTCTTACCCCTCAGTAATCCCATTATAGCCCTGATTAATTCCATCAGTTCTTTGTTCTGAGTGATCATTCGCATTAGCAGACTAGTGCAACACAACTCCACTGTGCCATTCGTGTTATCTCGGCCCCCCACTAACATGCACCCCCCAGTGTACTGGGTCCTTCCTCTAAGCAAAGCACTGGCCGTTTTGCCACCTATCCTTCTTCACGGACATCTCCAGGAAAGGTAGTCATCATCTTAATCCCTGCTATTATCCTGCTCCTCTTTATTCCCATAGATCTTGTATATGTGTATGTTCCGTGTGTGCTGCTTGTGTGTTACATTCCCTTAACACCCTTTAATAAAACATTCTCTATTTTATCCTTGGACTGGTTATTAAGAGCTCTCATAAAGGGAAAGATCCCTGTAGACACAGGTAGGATGATCCTCGCTATTGAGGCCTACCATTTAGCTAGTTTTCCCCCCAGAAACTGAAATCAGGGATTCACCTTATTAAATCAAAGTTGATAGGAGTAACACAAGTACCATTTCACAAGGGTTTATAAAACAGGATAGCTCCTGTCTTTCCCTCAAGTTCCTTGCTGGGTCTAAAGCCTAAACCAGTATCTGTGACAGGGTGAGACAATTTAAGCTTACCAAACAAAGAAGAAATACATGCTCCCGAAGGGTGACTCAGTCACTGAGGGGAACTAAAATATTTTTGGTTTCTCCTTAAGGCTTTACGTAGAGATCGAATGGCACGCTCTTACTAACCTGTCTTCTACTCTTTACATTTCATTTTGTGCACTGTTTACGATATACCACATCTTATACCTTTTTCTTTTGCACTGTTTTTCTAACTGTGTAATCCTTGTACTATTGTACACTTACTGGATGTTTTATTTCATTGTTTATGTGATGCGATCTGCCTTGAGTCTTAGCAAGAAAGGCAAGCTACAAACATGCAATAAATAAGTAAAAATAATACACCTCCAGCAGACAGCCAAGAAGAGCCAGGTGCATCCCACCAAAGACCTCTATAGACCATTTCGGTGGGGTGGGGGGAGGTTGGGAAAGAAATCTGCCTTCTGATGGTCCTGTGTCACTCTATGGCTTAGAAATGAACGAAGTGGTATGGAAAGAAGTCACAGAGGAGTGGCTTCCAGACCACTGCTGTGAACTCATGTCCCCCTCTACGAGTATTTACGCCCTGACCACAATAATAACCTGCATGCTTAAGCAGCACAGCGGTACATGTCACAGAAGCCATTAGCACTTACATCAAAAAAGAGAGGATTATACACAGTGAGAGGCAGGTCCGTGTGACCCAGGTGCCCTGGGCAGTTGTTAAAGTCCTGTACGCAAGTTGCACACACTTCCTTGTTGTCAAGCGGTCCCAAAGCCAAATCATACAACCCATTGGGTAATGCAGTCCCTGCATTGTCCAGGAAATGAGGATTGGTTATCGATTTTACACTCAGCTTCCTAGAAATGAAAAGAAAGAAACATTCTTTGGCTGCACATCCTTGAACCTTACAATATATCAACTAAAATCTATAAGTATGAATTGTTGCTACTAATCATTTTAGTGCCAGATTATTTCAATCTTATTGCTGTTTACTTTTCAGTGTTATTTTACCACAGCTATTCTAACACCAAGACAAGAGCCCGCTCAACTTCATGTTCGTTGCATCGATGACACTGTCTAACCATCTCATCCTTTGCCGTCCCCATCTTCTTTGACCTTCAGTCTTTCCCAGCATCAGGGTCTTCTTCTCCAGTGAGTGCTGCCTTCTCATTGGGTGGCCAAAGTATTTGAGCTTCAGTTTCATTATCTGGCCTTCCAGGGAACAGTCAGGGTTGATTTCTTTGAGGATTGACTGATTTGTTCTTCTTGCAGTCCAAGGGACTCTCAAGAGTCTTCTCCAGCACCATAGTTCGAAAGAATCTATTCTTCGGCGCTCGGCCTTCCTTATAGTCCAACTCTCGCAGCCATATATGACTACTGGGAATACAGACTTTTGTTGGCAGGGAGATGTCTCTACTTTTTAGCATGTTGTTGAGGTTCGCCATCGCTTTCCTCCCAAGGAGCAGGCGTCTTTTAATTTCATGGCTGCTGTCACAGTCTGCGGTGATCTGGGATCCCAGGAACGTGAAGTCTGTCACTACTTCCACGACTTCCCCTTCTATTTGCCAAGGAGTGATGGGGCCGGATGCCATGATCTTAGTTTTTTTGATGTTGAGCTTCAGTTTTACAGCCACTGTTTTAATATATACAACTACATTATAGCAGGATTTTAAACAGCTCATGTTGGTCTTTGGTGGATAGAAGAAAGAATTAAATGACCCACATGAATCCCTGGTAACACGTCAACTGCCTCATCGAGTACACCTTTCTGCCCTCACTGCAAGCCAGGGACGTGTACTACAAACCAAGCCGTCAGGGGTCCAAAGCAACGCCCCCTCTAAGCTGTGGAGTCCTGTGAGCAAAAATTCAATTCTTTGAGCTCCTGGCATTAAAGTTGTGAGTGAGCCATTTGGCTGCTGCATAAATTACTTTGCTCTGGACCAATTTTTCCCGAGCGAAGGACAATAATGTGTGAGGCGAAGTCCAAAGAACGTGTTACAGGGTGGCCGTCGGACGGTAGAAGCTGCGGGACTCCCAACCTGTCTAAGAGACGCGCTGAGGCGCAGAGGACGCGGCGTCCTCCCGGGACCGGCTCCCTTCCCGCCTCGCTCCACGGGCCTCTTCCCAGGGCCCCTCCCGCCGCCCGACCCGTTTCCCCGGCGAGCGGACGACCGGAGCAGCCCGGACCCGACGCCTCCGGCCGGCCGGCCGCCACCTCCCCCGAGCGAGCGAGCGTGAGGAGGAGGAGGAGGCGCGCCCGCCCTAACCCTAACCCGCCCCCCGCGGAGCCCCGCTCACCCGAGCTCCGCCGCCCGGTACACGCCGAAAGACAAGCCGCTCAGCCGCCGCCACGGCGCTTCCCGGGCCGCCGCCGCCACCGCCGCCATGCTCGCCAGCCACGCCGGGAGGGAGGGCCCGCCCCTTCCGCTTCCGGCCTCCTGCGCCCGCCCTTCCTGTTCCGGCGGCGGCGGCGGCCTCTTCGTTCTCCTCCTGCGCGAGGATGGCTGGGCCCTGGCGGCGCCTGGGGAGCGCGGCGGCGGCGGCTTCCTGCACCAAGGCCGCCTCGTGGCGGCGGCGCCGGCGGCTGGACACCTGGGGCGGCAGGTGGGGAGCGCG